AACCGCACCGCACCGAGTATTTTCTGTTTTTGCAAAACTAAAAACCGCACCATCGGTTTTCATTTCGGTTTCGGTTTATGCGGTTTTTTCGGTTTTTTTGGTTTGCGGTTCGGTTTTTGCTCACCCCTACTGGACCCTATTGTGAGAACCAGATGGTTGGATGATGTTGCCAATGCGTTCCACACCAGGAGATGTCCCGAGGGGGACAAGGTCAGATTGGCATCATGTCTTCTAAAGGACAGGGCTTGGGACTGGTGGGAGGAGGTAGGGAGAGCTATTGGAGATGATACGGTTTTGGATGCGATGACTTGGGGTGATTTCATGACTAGCTTCAGGGTGGAGTTCGCACCTATCACTGAGGTGCATCAGCTTGCTAGGGAGTTCCAGGATCTCCAGCAGACGACAGAGACGGTGGCGGAGATTACCACCAAGTTTAGGGAGAGGGCCCTTCTCGTTCCGCAATATGTGGCGGACGAGGAGATGAAAAAGAGTCGTTACCATGATATATTGAGGAGTAACATTAGACAGTTTGTGAGCCGCTCAAACTGTAGGACGTTAGAGGACATGATTGACACAGATCTAGAGAGAGAGAGAGAGAGAGAGAGAGAGAGAGAGAGTTATATTTAGAGATGGAGAGGAAAAGGAAACCAGAGGGAGTTCAATCAGCAGGTTCGGGTAAAAAGCCCAAAGTGTCAGATCATAGATCTCGGAGCCAGTAGAGCCACGGACGTTGTGGAAAATGCGGCAGGGGGCACGAGGAGGCGTGCAAGGCGGGGAGTTCGGGTTGCTACAAGTGCAGCCGAACTGGTCACATAAGCCAAGACTGCACAACTTCTATCACCACCACACCAGCTTCAGACCTGATTTGCTTTTAGTGCAATCATAAGGAACACAAGCAGTCCCAGTGCCCAAGCTTAGCAGCAGCAGGGAAGGTGATAACACCTTCTCCTGCCACCTTGAGGATTACAGATGGCCTTCAGGGCCGGGCTGAGGCACCTACGGCACGGAGCAGGGCTTTTCAGCTTACTGCAGAGGAGGCACAATTAGCTCCTGACATTGTGATAAGTATGTATCCTTTCTTGTTTATGTACTTGATATTTTTTATTTCTCATGTTTATGTGTTTGTGTATAGGGTCATTCTTAGTGAACGACATTTCAGCTTTCGTATTGTTTGATTCGGGGGCCACCCGATCGTTTGTGTCGCTCGCACTCAGCAAGCGGTTTAGTAGAGCTCCTGGGGAACTGGATTGCCCACTCGACGTTGAAATAGCTGATGACAGGACCGTCAGGGTCACGAGAGCTCATAGAGGATGTTCATTGCGGTTATTTGATGAGCGGTTCTCAGTAGATCTGGTTCCTATTCCCTTACGAGGGAATAAGGTTATAGTGAGTATGGATTGGCTGAGCCCCAATGGGGTAGTGATTTATTGCGAGTTGCAGATTGTGAGGGTTCATACTCCTAGCGAGGGAGAGTTAGTGATTATGGGTGAGAGGCCACAGTGTGGACCAATTCTTTGTTCTGCAGCAAGAGCGAGGCGTTACTTCCAGCATGGTTGCGCGGGATACGTCGCCTATGTTATGGATGCCCGAGATAAGGGCAAGGCGATGGTTGGTGATGTACCGGTGGTACGTAAGTACCCGGATGTATTTCCAGAGGATTTGCCGGGGATACCTCCTGAGAGACAGGTTGAATTTTGGATCGACCTAGTCCCTAGTGCGGCTCCGATAGCCAAGGCATCGTATCGGTTGACTCCTCCAGAGATGCAGGAGTTGTCTATGCAGCTGTACGAACTGTTAGACAATGGTTTTATCAAGCTGAGCAGTTCTCCATGGGGAACCACAATCCTATTCATGAAGAAGAAGGACGGGTCGCATCGCATGTGTATAGATTACCGGGAGCTAAATAAGATAACGGTGAAGAACCATTACCCACTTTCTAGGATATATGACTAGTTCGACCAGCTTCAGGGAGCATCTTGGTTTTCCAAGATTGATCTACGGTCCAGTTATCACCAGATGCGGGTAAGAGATGATGATGTGCAGAAGACCACCTTTAGGACCCGCTATGGTCATTATGAGTTTGTCGTGATGCCGTTTGGGCTCACTAATGCTCTAGCCGCGTTCATGGACCTCATGAACCATGTGTGTAGACCGATGCTGGATCGATCGGTAATATTCTTCATTGATGACATCGTGGTTTATTCTAAGACTGCGGAGCAGCATGAGGAGCACTTGAGGGAAGTGCTAGAGACCTTGAGGAGGGAGAGGCTTTTCGTATAGTTCTCCAAGTGCGAGTTCTGGTTGCACGAGGTGCAGTTTCTGGGGCATCTTGTCAACCAGAAGGGTATATTGGTTGATCCGACCAAGATAGAGGTCGTGATGCAGTGGGAGGTCCCGAGGTCTCCATCAGAGATTTGGAGCTTCCTGGGTTTGGCAGGGTATTATAGGAGATTTATTCAGGATTTCTCCAAGATAGCAGTTCCGTTAACCTGACTGACAAAGAAGTCGGTAGTGTTTCACTGGGGTTCTGAGCAGTAGGTATCCTTTGAGATGCTCAGATAACGACTGCGTGAGGCACCGATCCTTACTCTTCCAGAGGGGATAGATGATTTTGTAGTCTAATGTGATGCTTCGATCACAGGTCTGGGAGCATTATTGATGCAGCGAGGACACGTGATAGCTTATGCTTCGAGGCAATTGAAGCCTCACGAGGCTAATTATCCGACGCATGATTTGGAGTTGTGGGTGTTGGTATTCGCCCTTAATATTTGGCAGCATTACCTCTATGGGGTCCGGTGTACTATTTACACAGACCACAAGAGTTTGAGGTACCTCATGGATCAGCCGAATCTGAATATGAGGCAGTTTTGGTGATTAGATTTGGTTAAGGATTACGACTGTGAGACCCTTTACCACCCGGGTAAGGCCAATGCTATGGCAGATGCACTGAGCCGCAAGGTAGTGGCGACCCCGATCCGATACTTTTGTTAGAGGAAGACAATGATGAATCCATTATAGGAGCATATTAGGGTGGCGCAGGTTGAGGCCCTGAAGAAGGAGCGACAGAAGTGTGAGAGGATTGTGGGTCGGCTGACCTCATTTGATTATGACAATCGAGGGTTGTTGACCCTGCATGGTAGGGTCTGGGTGCCGTACTGGGGCAGAGTACGGCATGTGCTGATGGATGAGGCCCACAAGTCTAGGTTATCTATCCATCTAGGGGCAACGAAGATGTATAGCGATCTTCGACCCGATTACTGGTGGCCCTACATTAAGCGAGATGTGGCTAGGTATGTGGAGAGATGCCTAACCTGTAGGAATGTCAAGGCGGAGCACCAGAGCCCTTACAATAGGATGTATCCGTTAGACATCCCCGTATGGAAATGGGAGGATATCACTATGGATTTCATTACCAAACTTCCCATGACTGCACGTGGGGTCGATTCTATTTGGGTCATCGTGGATCGGTTGACCAATAACACTCACTTCATACCGATCCAGGAGAGTAGCTCGTCCGAGAATTTGGTTGAGATTTATGTGTGGGACGTAGTGGCATGTCATGGAGGGCTTGTCTCGGTGGTGTCATACCGAGATGTCTGGTTTACTTCCAAGTTTTGGAAGCGGTTTCACGACAAAATGGGTACTCATCTTCATTTTAGCACTGCTTTCCACCCTCAGACAGATGGATAGAGTAAGAGGACAATTCAGACTCTCAAGGACATGCACCGGGCACGTGTCCTAGATTTCGGTGGCAGTTGGGATACGTACCTCCTATTAGCGGAATTTTCATATAACAACAGTTATCACTCCAGTATAGACTGGCCTCCCTTCGAGATGCTTTATGGGAGGAGGTATATGACCCTAATATGTTTGGATGAGGTCGGTTAGAGGGTCATAAGGAGTACGGAGGTAGTACTCAAGACCACAGAGCTTATACAGTAGGTCTGTAGCAGGCTCTAGACTGCCCAGAGTCGGCAGAAGAGTTACACCGACAGGAGGCATTCGGACATGGATTTTCGGGTGGGTGACATCGTCCTTCTGAAGGTGTCACCCTGGAAGGGTGTCATCAGATTCCGAAAGCGGGGCAAGTTGGGACCCAGATTCATTGGTCCATTCAGGGTTTTGGCTCTGGTGGGTCGTGTTGCTTATCGGTTAGACCTTCCAGCAGAGCTCAGTCAGATTCACATCACGTTCCATGTTTCTCAGTTACGGAAGTGATTGGTGGATGAGGCGGCAGTGGTACCCCTTGAGGATATTCAGGTCGATGGCAGCCTGAATTACGTTGAGAAACTAGTGGCGATCCTGGATCGCAAGACAAAGGAAATGACGAATAAGAAAGTTAATTTAGTGAAGATTCAGTGGCAGCATAGAAAGGGTTTAGAGTGGACTTGGGAGTCCGAGGAGGAGATGAGGGAACACTACCCGGAGTTATTTGTGGAAGTAGCACTACTAGAAAAACAGCCTTTTACGACACTCATTGCGCGTCGTAAAAGGCTCAGACGACGCGCAAATGCGCGTCAAGGAAGGCCCTATCATAAAGAGAGACGACGCGCGTTTACGACGCTCATTTACGACGCATTTACGACGCGCGTATACGACACGCAATGCGTATCAAGGAAGGCCCTGTCATAAAGGAAGACGACACGCATTCGCGTGTCGTAACCTTATGACGCGCGTGTTAATGACACGCAATGCGTATCAAGAAAGCCCCTGTCAAGAAAGGCAATGTCATAAATGAAGATGACACACATTTTTGCGTATCATAATTTTAAATGTTTAAAAAAAATATTTTTTATAGATTTACTAATTTTCAAATTAAATAATACATTAAAAATCTCATAATACAAAATAAAATACCATAAATAACAAAGATAATTCATTTCACTATTATGTCAAATACAAATAATTATTCCAAAGGTGAGTAAATGTTATAAAAAATGAACTCATTTATATACAATTGCATCATCTAGCTTACTATGTACCAACAACTCTCTGTGCGTTTACTTTTTCTTGAGTCTCGTTTCCTCCAAAGCTTTTAGCCATGCCAAAATATGATATCTTGAGTCTCGTATGAATAGATCGTGCGCAATAGGTCTAGCTTGTATCATGCCTAGTAACAAAGGAACCAGGAAAGGTGCTAATTTCCTCCTGCTAGTCTGATCTACATGAGCAGCAACTGCAGCATAAGAAATGCTTCTGCACAATTTTAACTGAAAAATCCCAAAAAGTTAGCCATTGACATTTTTTAGTGTAAACATGTTACAATAACAAAGATATCATGTAATCTAACACAACATTGATCTACATGCATTTACACACTAAAACATTATTCTAACCTCTATTGTGGTTTTGTTTTGTATTGTAAGATGGATATGCCACCCCATGACCTGCATATTTGAATCATGCAACCTTTAGATTCATATAAACATGATGAGTTAACACTATTACAAAAAATTAGCATTTATTGGTAAGAAAAATTGGACACACCATAAGATAATTTCCATACAAACACTTTAAATGATGAGTTAACACTATTATAAAAAAAAATTAGCATTTATTGGTAATACAGAAAAAAAAACTTAACATACCAGGGGTATTTTAGTTAATACCTTGGTTTAGCCTTGATGTATAAGATAGAAGGGATGAAATATGCCTAAAGTTAATAGACAAAACCTATACTAATAGAATAATCAGTCCAAAAATATACACAAACACTTGCACACACTTACACATACTCACATATCTTTAAATAGGATCTAATTATGACCTTATATCTCTATTTATTTTTATTTTTCTGGGATAAAATATTAGTTTTCTAATCGTTAGCTAGTTTTCTTTTCGCTACTTACCACAGGTGCTTACTGAAATTCTTCAAATTTATTTTTATTTTTCAGGGTTATAATATTAGTTTTCTTATATATATATATATATATATATATATATATATATATATATATATATATATATATATATATATATTACCTCCAATGGCTTTAGTAGCATCCTTAAGGCACCCAGAAAAGTATTGTTGTAGAACACTTTAACTACAGGGTGATTGACTCGGTTGACTACACGATATATGAAAACTGCTAATGCATCAAGAGAAAATGGATTTGATTCACTTCCTACAAAAAATTTAAATAACAACCAATCAAATTTATATCCATTTATAAAAAAATAATAAACAATAAATAATAAAATAAGAACGTTCGGAATCTGGAACAATTGGTACAGCAGATGAAGGAAAGAAGAGAAAAAGTTACCTGGCTCCATACTTCTTCATTAGGGGCATATTGTTCAAGAAAAGGCTCAGCTTCACTCAAGTAGATTGATGATGACAACTGTTTGTTCTCGTATTTCCTTCTTATGTACACTGCCCTAAAAATTTATATAATTTATAAATTCTTTTCTTATTAAAAAAAATACTAAATCCTTCTTCCTTCATTACCATTCATCCAACATCTTACTGAGTTGTCTCTACTTTCCTGGTGATGTATTCCATATCTTTATTTGCCTACATCATGCAATTTGGTCTGATTATGACACAATGATATCAAAATGACATAAATGCCCTTATGTGTGAAGGTTACCTGAGGTAGTAGGTTTTATAGGCAATTGGACCTTCTTTGAAAAGAATCGACAACCCGTTGCGAATCAAGAAAGTTCGCAGCTGTGTCATAAGTCATAACTGAATTATGTCAGAAGGGTATAAAAGTAATTTCGACCACATAACTAGGGGATAATATATATATAATACCTTATATGTAAGAAAATTTCAGCTTGATCATTAGATTTGCATCGTCATCTGCTAAACTGTTTTTTGTAGATGTTTCATTGCCATCTTTGTAATTTTTTCCAATGCCGGGGGTATTTTTGGAAATCTCTATGGATTTCTCTTTACTTGCCTTGAACAGATTAATTTCAACAAAAAAAACCTCGATATAGTGGCCATAAATCTGGCTTGAATCTCATCTCTTTTTGGTATCTCCTGAAGGTTGAATCACTATGCACATGGATCACCATTTTATAATGAAGATTATCACTAGTATCGAATTAATTTTGTGGAAATTATAGTAACACTTGAAAGCAGCAGGAAAACGTTTTTCTTTCATCAATCTGACCATTTCCTAAATAAAAAAAGTATATCATGCAATTAAAATACTGTTTCTGTGTTATTTATACTGAAATTTGATATAAGAGTTTGGATTACCTTTAATTTAAAGGTAGTATGATCAGAAGGATTTGTTTGTAGAAATTTGGAAAGAACTGATTTATCAGCACTTCTTGGAGGTATATCAGCAGCTTCAAATCCAAACCAATCCACATAATTTGGACAAAAAGATTTCCCAACATTTTGAAGAAATGCCTTTATTTCCAAACCAATCCACATAATAGGATCTTCTTCTATGATGGCATTGGGAGTGGCTGGTAACCCAAGGGATCTTCTTGATCTCTCTAGCAACCCAAGGGTTCTGTCCCATATTAGCTGTCAAAGTCAAAAAGAATACCATTAAATCTGAACAAACATGAGTTATACCAAATTTACTGATGAAGGGATGAAGTTATACCAAATTTGTTTCTTCAAAGGTACAGTGTGTGGGTTATAACTGTGCAGGTTCTTCAGGGAAAGTCTCAAGGAAGCTTTCAAGAAGCTCATCAGCATTATCAATTCTTTCATCACCTTCACCAATTATCCAAATCATCAATGCCTATTAAAAAAGACAATTATTAGTAAATTTCTACATAAAGCAAAAGAGAGAGAGAGAGAGAGAGAGAGAGAGAGAGAGAGAGAGATTGTAGAATTTAAAACAATTATTTTACTACAGACACAATAAATGATCTAATTAACTGCTCTTGATTGTGATGCCAAAACCAAATTGAGAAGGCAGAAATACAAAAACTAACTATCAATTAAATCTTACTCCACCCCACATGAATTGATCATCAAAATCTGGAATCTGATATACGAGTTCTTTAAAAGATGTTATTATCGTGTCTTAATTTTCGGCCCCTAAAAACATAGACAGGGCATTATGCCACACCAAGCTATGCAATCAAAACTGTATTGAAGATGCTACCAGAAGAAGAACCTGAAATCGTATGCCAATAATATCTACTGAAAACTTCTCCCTACCTACGGACCAATAACCCTATGGATCTGGCACAGTAGAGCCTTAATTCAGATTCAGATCAAAATCAAATTATCATCCAAGGTAAGAAATTGAACAAGGATAACAGTATTTGTGATAACTTAATCGACCTATCAACCAATAACCTGATGCATCTGCCATAACCATGATCGAAGATAATAACATACAGGGAGAAGCTGGAATTATCATCATGACCCACTTGGATAATAATATATAATCTTTAATTTCTTCCAGATATAAACTAATAACCCTATGGATCTGCCACAGCAAGTGGATTCGTAGATAAATTCTTAATTATAACCTGCATCTCCTCATAGAAGAGACCATAAAAAGAACCTGATAACGCTTAGAACAACATAAGAGAGGAAGAACCTGGAAACGCCTGATCATAAAGATCTGATCTTTGAGATTGAAACTATCGACAGATCAAATCTAAATTACAGAGCGTATATGAACCTGCAAACCTTTGTGGATTAAGATTTTCCATGACGACTTTATAATCATTAACCATCGATCAAAAAAACAAATCCTCCAAATCAAAATATCAAAATATAGAATATAACTAAAGATTTGTGAAGGGATTACGACCCGTTTTAGATAAACATCAGCCATAAAATAATCTTCCTGTTGGTCGAGCATTCACAGCAAGGGGACCTCTGCGAGGTGGCCCTGTTGGTCTTCCACCACCAAATGATCTTCCTTGACCTCGACCACCACCACCACCACGAGCCCTACCTCTCCCTCTATCTCTAATCTTCTTCAAATAGATTTTGGTGTGAGACTGGATCAGCTGCTGATGCAATCGTATACGAATCGACAAAATCAAGCAATTGAAAGAACCGTTGTAGGATCGTTGGTGATCTAGGGTTCGAGCATGAGAAAGAAATAGGGTTCGAGCATGAGAAAGAACTGTTATAGAGATGTAGCAAGGTACGAGGTGAGATCTAGGGTTCGAGCATGAGAAAGAACTGTTATATAATCGCTGGTGATTGGATTTCATTGGAGGGTGGAGATGCAGAAGAGAGAACACGCAGTAGAGAAAGGCGGGGCAAGTTCTTCACAAAAAGCCCTAGCTCCGATTGGATTCCGGCATCGACGAGGCCTTTGACGCTGGTTTTTGTTTGGTCGAAATCTTTGAGCTCTGATTGTCGATCGTAGCTTGAGCCCGCTCAAGCAATGGTGGCAGCCATTTTTGTGAAGATGATCGTGTTATATATGCGAAGGTATTCTCTAGAAAGGTGAGTGAGCATCCTTGCAATTGTGGCCCTATGAACGTAAAGTGTTTGATTTCTTGTGAGAAATGAAGCGATAGAGATCGATCTATGGAGGATGTGGGTCGTTCTTTGAGGGATGAAAAAACCCTAGTTTCTTAGACTTTTTGAGTACGGGGTTTTCTAAATTTTAGATTCCCCGAGGTATTAAGGATGGAACACGATGTTTGATGAGATCGATAAGGAGGTCAGGAGTGGCGGGGAAGCGGATCAGAGAGGAGAGAGAAGGAGGGAGCGAGAGGGGAGAAGATGAAAGATAGAAAGAAGGTAGAGACGACTTTTCAAAATTTTGGGGATTTCGTTTCCCACCTCTACTAAACGCGCCTTTTCATTAAAGTTATAAAGCGACAAATATAGAGGACGCACCTTTAAAATAAAGCGCCCTCCGTGTTTTTAATTTTTTTTCGTGAGACACTAATTTAAGGGCACTCAGTAATGCGCGACCTAAATTCTTAAATTTTTTGAAGAGATGACTCTTTTTCAATGTCGCTCTCTAATGCGTAACATAAATCAAAGAGCGTCGTGTTTTGCGCGTCGTAAAAGGCTGTTTTTCTAGTAGTGCAGTAGCAGCAGCAAACTTCAAGGACGAAGTCTAATTCAAGTAGGGGTGAATTGTAACGGTCGACTCTCGAGGTATTAATTAATTAATTTTTCTTAATTTATGGTTGGGCCTAGCATAGATAAAAAGGATTTTTTTTATTGGACTCAAGCATTTGGGCCAAAGATTTGGGCTGCCCATAAGACGTACGCTTGGCCTAGCCTGGGTGTACACGGGGCGTAGTGGTCTGCATTGGATGTGGCGGACGCGCACACGTACGTTAAGCGTACCAGGAGTACACGCAGCGTACGTGAGCAAATAGCAAACCCTACATATAAATACCCCATTATAGACTCACCCCTGGCTTCTTACCAGTCCCCTCATCCTCATAAAACCTTTATAGTGCCCCATATTCCATTGTTGTGTGTGTTTGACCCTTGTGAGCTCATTTTGGTGTAGGAAAGCTTTGAAGAAGAAAAGGAGAGGTTGGAGGAGAATCCTTTGAGTGCCTTGAGCTCAAAGATCTGGATTAAACTCATCTTTTGGTATCTAAAGAAGGTATAAAGCTCTTAACTTTCTTCCTCAAAGTCTAGATCTAAGGTTTTGGAAGTTTTGGACCTCTTGAAGTCTAAAGTTTAGACCTAGGCCTTGCAACTTCGAATTTAAGCTTAGGGTTTCCACCCTTGAGGCTCAATGAGTTCCTTTATCACTAAGCTTCGTGCTTACAATTTCAGTTTTGGTTTGAGGTATTTCAGTTAGTAAAGGGAAGGGCTCGAGCTGATGGCATTGCATGCACCACCGTTGATCAACCTGGGAGTTTACTCTGATTTCATTATGAGGCATTTATTTGTTATCAAATATTATGAGTTTTGATATACTTATTTTACGATTTAATTCTATGGCAATGACATTTACGTTTGATAAATGATTTTAAAAAAAACGAAATTTTTGGCTTCTATTTTTAGGATGTTTGAACTCAAACTAAGGAAGTGGTATAAAGTTTTCAAAAGAAAAGAGCTTTAGAAAAGCGAAAAGTATTTTTAGAAAGAAAAGAACTTTGAAAAGAGAAAAGGGAGTGGTGCATGCAATCAGCCGAGCTCAAGTAAGTACTCCCAAATTAACCATACAAGTTTATGCTATGTTATGATTATCAGCTTTATTAGAACAGCATGCTTGATTAGGACTAATGATCTAGGAAGGATACCTTATGTGCCTGTTATGTGCTTCAGCTCTATGAGAACTGCATGCTAGTACAGCATTATTTGTAAGATAGTCAGAGTAGTATATGCTTGATTATGTGTACTCGATGCTCGAATTCTGTTGCTTTGTGCTTTTAGGAGTCTTAGTTATCTTTCACCAACTAGTAAATGAATATGTTACGTTATATATTGTGAGGATTAAATAATTTCAGAAGGTTAGATCTAGCTCTATTGCACAGCTCTTGTCTGAGTCCAACCGTTGTAGGGTAGGATCTCTCATTCGAAGAATTATCTAGTCTTAGTAATATGTAATAGTATTCACGAGCTAGTTAGGGGAGGTAGCCGGGACTTCTTGTGTAGCTGATAGCGGAGAGTGGGTCGATGCTTACCCTAGGGCAAGCCTAGGATGAGAATAGTAGAGAGTAGTAGCAGTAGAAGGGACTTGGTTGAGTCAAGGCAGTTCTTGAGGAAAGTACAGATTGATATGGAATGTAGTATGGGCTCGTACTACTGAAATCAGAGGATCCATACTCGAATCAAGGAAGACTGAGATAAGACTAGGGAACTTGTAGTGTGTGAGATCCCTTGAGTCATGTTAATTATGTTGATATTGTTATATTGTTTTTTTTAGAATGGTGGTTTTACACCCTAGACCAGTAGCCAGCAGTTTAGGAGCCGGAGAGGGATCAGGTGCAGGCACTGGAGCCGAGCACCTTGATGAGCTTACAAGAGAGTTTATCTCCTTAGAGATCACAACATTATACTTGAGCAAACCCCAGTAATCTTCGGTTCGATCAACGAGGGTATTCTGGAGTTTATGGATGAGAGATTGAGAGCTTTCCGCACTGAGTTGGCGACCATGTAGGGATCACGCACGCTCACCTTTAGGGAGTTCATAGCATGTGGAGCTCTTGATTATCATGAGGCTCGGGACCCCAACGCGAGTACCAGATGGTTTGCTGATGTAGCCAATGCGTTCTACACCAGCAGATGTCTCGAGGGGGACAAGGTCATATTGACATCATGTCTTCTAAATGACCGGGTTCACGACTGGTGGGAGGAGGTAGGAGGAGCTATTGGAGATGATAAGATTTTGGATGCAATGACCTGGGGTGATTTCACGACCAGGTTCATGGCGGAGTCCGCACCTGTCATTGAGGTGCAGCAGCTTGCTAGGGAGTTCCAAGATATCCAGCAGACGACAGAGATGGTGGCGGATAATACAGCCAATGCAGTCGGATGACGGGGTGAGCCCGATGCCCGATGCGGTCGGATGTCGGGGTGAGCCCGATGCCGAACAATAGTCCGATGTCGGGTAAGCCGATGTCGGGATTCGTCCCGATGCAATGGGAGTAGTCCGAGAGTTATGTTGTTTGTTATATGTGTTTTGTTTAGTATGTAGTAGTTTGGGGGAGCTCACTAAGCTTCGTGCTTACAGTTTCAGACTTAGTTTCATGTATTTTAGCTACTAAATGGAAGCGCTCGAGCTGATGGCATTG